TTCAAGGTTATTAAATATGTTTCCTATTTTTTCATCTAATCTCAGATCTGTTTCTCTTTTTATTAAAATTTTAAATACTATATCAAGAAAATGTTGTTTTGTTATTGTTCGAAAATTAATAAAGAATTCATTATTTTTTTCTGTTTTTATATCGTATTTGTTAAATAGTGATGGATCTGAATATTTAATGATATTATTTAACAACAGACTTCTTAAAAAACTAATTTCTTTATCAGTGCTAATTATAATAACTTTATATAATTTTAAAATTTCATTAACACTTATTGATATATTTAAATTTTGGTAACCTTGTTTCATTAGGAATGGTCGTGTTTTGGGAATTATTATATTAATATCTTCTTTTATTTTTTTCAATCTTCTAGAGGTTTGTTTTTGTTTTTTATTATCTGTAACATCATTTAAATCATCTTTTCCTAAGATTTTATCAATTTTGTTTAGATATTCTTGATTTTTTACTAGTAGTCTAATTTTTTTAAAAAAAATTTATTCATTATCATTTGGTTTAACTATTTTACTAAAAGTTATTATATCATTTTCTTGATCGAATATTTCTTTTATTGTTTTGTAAAGATAATTTTTCTTGATTATGTTATTAACAAATTCATTTACATCTTCAATTTCATATATTGAATAGAATTGTTTATTTGATTTATTAATAAAATATTGATCATGTTCATTATGTTTATAAATTTCAGCAGCTTTTTTATAGAGGTTTTGAAGAATATTTATTTCATTTTGATTACTTAGTTTATTTATTTTAGTATCAAAATAATTATCATCTTGTAATGTTTCTATGTAATCACTATTAGGAAATTTTTGTATGTAACCTAAAAGCAGTTCTCGTATCAAACAGGATACTTTGTTTTTATATTTTCCTTTTTTGTCAAATAAAAATTCAAAAGCATCATTTATATTATCTATTTTTTTTCAATTTAGTATGATCCTTCATTCAGAAAATAATTGCTTTCTTAATTCTTGTAATTGATTTACAGTATGTAGTGAATCCAGAAAAGGTTCTTCTAAAGTTTGGATCAATAGATCATATTTTTCACCATCTTCAAATGATTGTTTATTATTATCTTCTTTCATTTCATTTTCAATAACATCATACAATAAAGTATTATATCTACATTTTCATAAGTTGATTAAAGTGTTTTTATCTTTATTAGTTTCCATTAATGTTTGATTGAGGTTTTTAATATTTTTTGCTAAAACATTATTATTTGATAGTGAAACAACTTGTTTTCTATTGTAAAAATTTGCAATTTGTCTTTTATATCTATTATATCTTGAAATTTTAACCTCCTTTTGTATTAGTTGATATTTTTTTCGTCTTTTTTGTTATAATGTAACTATATCTCTATTATCTTTTAGATTTTCATTTTTGAGTTCACATATTATAATATCTATATGACATTTATCATTTAACAGGTTAGCAGTTTCAATTTTAGGAATTTCTTTATTGATTTTATCATACTTTTCATTTGATAATGCTTTTAATTTCTTATTACGTTGTATATTTAAAGCAACTTTTTGTTCTTCAGACAAGTTTCTGCTATTTCTAATTTCTCTAAACTAATGTCTATTCACTTCTAGATTTGGTATTTCTTTTTCATTACGTATTCCATCTCTTATATAATTAAAATCATTTGTGCCAGGTTGTGTTTGTTCTAATTCTCTTATACATTCTTCTCTGAGTTCATTAAGTTTTTGTTTATCATCATTTTCTAATTTAGACTTGGTAATTTCAGAAAACCAAAAATCTCTTAATCTTTCTATTTCTGTTTTATCTTTTAATTCTTTGTTGAATTCTATTGAATTCTGCAATGTAATCAACTAAAAAATCAAATCTATCTTTTCTTATTTTTTGAAGTTCTTCTTTTAATCTATCTGTTAGATTTTGACTACCAGTAATTTGCATATACCAGAATTGAAAATCTCTCAATCAATTGATTTTAGTTTTTTCTTTAATTCTAGTTTTGATTTTATTATATCTGATAATCATTCTTTCTTGATTGATACATAGTGTTTGTAGTTCACTTTTTTGTTTTTTATTTAGATTGGAATTTTGTATTTCTTTATCTAAATTACTATCTTCTTTTAATTCTTTAAGATCAAATGTTTCTTGAATTTTTTTTTTAATTCTTGTAAATACATTATCACCTTTTTGATACTCAATTGTTGCTAATTCTGAAAAAAACAAGTTCAGTAATTCATTGTTATTAACTTTAGGTTTACATCCAACATTTTTTTGATATTTGCAATTTATATTTTTATTGTTAATAGTACATTTACTCATTTTGAAAGTTAAAGAAAAAATAGCATTTGATTTCTTTATTTATATGATTTTATAAAGATTTATTAACCTATCTAAACATCATTTAATTTGTTTAACAAATACATTTTATTATGAATTTAAAGTGATCAAAGTAAGTG